ACTCAAATATATTTGAAAACTTATTCAGAAATGAATTTAATTATGTAGTTAATTTAGTAGTTAATTTAATTATGTAGTGATAATTTTGATTGATTAAATAATTATTATGTCAGAATGAACTTATAAAAAAATAAAATATTTGCATATTTTTGTTAATTAAATATATTTGAATACTTATATAAGTGATAAAAAAGTCAATTTAATGTCTATCAAAAAACTTTTTAACCGAAATCGAGTAATTTCATTGCAGAATAATGGATCTTAATTTGTTACGTAGTGATACGTCTCCACGCGTTGCGTTTCAAGAACTAATGAGAAACGGAGTGAGTTGCTCATTTCATTGCATTTTTTGAAAAACTGCTTTCTTTGCTTTTTGTCAATTCTATAAATTAGACAAACATTTTACCGATTTCCGCTTTTCATGCGCAGAGTACAGAATTGGTCAATGGATAGTAAAAAATGTATTTGTAATTGTAATAGAGCAAAGTGTGGTCAGTGTTATATTTTTGTCAGCGAATATCCAAAGATTGAGAAAAATGGAGGGGCAGTTAATTTAATTATGCAGTGATAATTTTAATTAATTTAATAATTATTATGTCAGAATTAACTCAAAAAATAAAATAAAATATTTGCATATTTTTGTTAATTAAATCTAGAAGTTTTAGCATTTTGTTTCATTTCAGGGACTTATTGATGATGTAATATTAAATGGTAGTAACGGACAGCCAGTTGGTGACACTAATGGATTCTTGAATAATGCTTATATGGAAACGGAACTACCGTCTAGTAACAGAGAAAATGAGTCAGCTCGCAAAAATACACAAAAAAAGATTATAATAAGTGATCAGGTTGATGATCCAATTAGTGGTACAGATGAATCATCGTCTACATTTACGGATGAAGAATCGTTGCGTGAAGATGGATTCTATAAAGATTTATTAGAGAAAGTGAATCAAAGTATATCACTTGATAACAAAAATGAATATGCTTCTGATGATGAAAGTATGAAGTCGACACCCAGCAGTGAGGTGAATAAATCGTCATACGATGAAAAGCAAAAAACACTATCCATTGATGAAAAATACAGTTCTTCGACTGAAAATAAACAAAATAGGCCACTACTTGGGCCAGATGATGGACACAATAGAATATTATGTAGTAATAATGAATCATCTCAGGATATAAAAGAATCTAGCGATCAGCGAGATAAGACTGTTGTTGAAGGTAAACAATATCAGCCATTATCAAGTGAAAAAATGAGAAATTCTGAGGCAGTTGATGATTATAAATTAGAAGATGATGGCATAGAAAATGATTCTTCTGATATTTCAGAAAAAAACTTATCAGTTACTGGTATACGAGATGAATCATTGTCTAATGATTCCCAAAATGAAACATCATTTTGTGGAACGGAAAAAGATTCATCAGCTGTATCAAAAGAAGGATTACTGAGCACAACCATGCATGATGAATCATTACTGAGTGAGAAGCAAAATAAATCATACAATATAAGCAATGAGGATAATGAATTTTCTTCGTCTGTGGATACAGAAATTGAAACGATATCTACTAATCAACAAGAACAGTCATCACTGAATGATAAAAAAATTGAGAGTTCGTTTAGAAGTAGCCAAAGTATGTGAAATAAAAAATTATTATGCAGTTAGTTGTAGCAAAAAATTAATTAAGCAATAGACAAAATAAATTTTTTTAGAATCCATTATTGTCTAATGATAAGCAAAAAGATTGTATTTCAAAATTAGAAGATAATTTGTCATTATTTGAAGGAGAACAGAAAGCACTGATAGATGACCAAAAGGATGAAACAGAAAGCAGTGATTTCGAAGAAGAAGAAGAAGGAGAGGCAGAAGAAGAGGCAGAAGAAGAGGCAGATACTGACGCGCAAAACGAATATTCATCAAGTGATATTGAAAGTAAAATCTTATCAAACGATGAATCTTCACTTGATAGTTTACTTAGTAAGATTACATATGCAAAGCAAATTTTCAATTAATTAAAAAAATCATACAAAACTAATTATTTTGAATCATTTTATTTTCAATCAACTTGTCTTATATTACTTTAAGTGACGTGACTTCACATTTAAAACTTTTAAGTTCGCGGATCAAATCAAAAGGAACATGTCTTTGAAAGTTGTGAAAACTGCGGACCAGTTCAGTCTCAGTTTACTTCTCTCCTAGATCAAGTAAGAAATTATTTTACTTAAGGATATTTGAGTTTGCATTTCATACAACAATATTTAACAGTCATTTAAATATTTTAATTTTGTGTAAGAAAATAAATACAAAATAGAGCAAAAAAGCTTGCTAGTTTTTGTCTTTTAAATGCTTTGGTAGATTCCATTCAAGTAATAAACTAGTTTTAGCTTCAAAACTTTGAAGAAAAAATGAAAAATTTGCTTCCAAATATTTTAAATATGATCGTTAGCAATGATTGCTTTTTTTTTTGCAAAACATTACAAATTTTCAAAGTGGAATACTTTTTTAAAAGAATTAATTTGTAGAGCAGAAATTTATTTAATTTTGTTTTTAAATTTATTTAATTTTTGTTTTTTATCGAATTTTTATTTGCTTTTATTATTTTAAATTAATAAGTCGAAAAATCTTTTGAGTCGAAAAAATCTTTTAACATATCTAACTGTTAATATGGGCATTTTAATCATTTTAAAGCAGAAGCTTTTTGTTTTCATGATAATTATTAGTATTCATATTAGTGGTCAAGCTTTCAAAATGCTATCTCTTAAAGTTATAACAGAATTGATTGACTATTATAACGGTCATTAATTGTTCAAAAAACCAAAACTTGATATAGTTCAGTTATTAATGTTTACATAATGTTAATTATACAAATAACAAAGTTAATTACAGAAACTGAAATTAGAAGAGAGTAAGAAAAAAGTCAGTTCTCGCGATGAAGAACAATGGAAAAACTATTATGCAAGTTATTTACTATTAATATTTTACAGTAATTCAATGCGTACTTTACTCATTAATGTAATAAACCCATAAACTGTGATTTAAATTTTAAATGCATTATGAAAACATGATTA